CCCCGGCTCCGCGTCCGCCATGGAGGCCGAAGCGGGACTCGAACCTGGGTTCAGGAGCGACGGCGCGGCCAATGTGCGTCACGAGAGAAAGGGGCGGGCTACGAGTGCCCAGCAGGCCAAAGTAGCTCAGGAGGCCCCCTGACCGCGCCCTGCTGTGCTCTGCAAAGACTGCTAGACAAAAGGCCTGGCCTTGGTTTTTTTTTTTTAATTCTCCCGTGTCACTTCCTCCAGGAGCTGTCCTGGGTTTCCCAGGCCTCTAGAGGTCTTCGAGATTCCAGAGCCCCTGGCCTAACGCCTCACACTATTCAAATGTTCTCAACGCCCGTTCTGCAAGATTTGTGGATTCCTGACCCACCCCCGCCGTAAATCTGACAGATTGAAGAAGGGAACCAAAGTTTACAATTGTTTGTTTGTTTGTTTGTTTGTTACTTGACCCAGGATCGTGCTAAATTTCCCAGGCTGATCTCAAATTTGTAATCCTCTTGCCTCAGCCTCTTGAATAGGTGGGACTAATATGTGCCCAGTTTCTTTTCCTTTTTCCCCCGCTAAATTTGAAAGAAAGCCCTCCAGCTCCCCCATCTTCACATGTCCCCTCTGACCCTTAAGCGTAGAATCACTCCTACCATCTGGTCCATGGTTCCCTGTTACCATCTTTTTGATCCCATAGAGAGGAAAATATCAGCGTAATCTATGTGGTCACCACTGGTACAGGTTTCAGAGTAGGTATATGGCAAATATATATATATATATATATATATATATTTTTTCTTTGAGACAGGCTTTTGCTATGGTCTTGTTGTTTTGTTTTGTCTTGTTTTGTACCGGGAATCAAACTCTGAACCTTGTGCTTGCTTGCAAGGCAGGCAGGTGCCACTGAGCTAAATGGCCCCTGAAAGTACCTTTCTTTGAATGAAGGCCTTCAAACTAAACTGAGTGAAGACAAAGTGACAAGAGAAAAGACCCAATTCAGTTCTGTATTTTTATTCACAAAAATAAAAGAGTGCACAGAAAAATGTGACTCAAGTAGTGGTTAGAGTGTGGGGTTTTGTCACAACTGTCCCCCATCCAACCCCTGGTGCTGGGAATCAAACAGGGCATGCAGTCATCGAGCCACCTTCCCAGCCTTTCTTACTTTGAGACACTGTCTTGCTTGATTGTCCAGGCTAGCCTAGAACTCATGGTCCTCATAGCTGGGGTGACAGGCCACACCATACGCTGCAGTAATAACCCTCTTAATAGAAGAGGGAGCGGAAGGGACTGTGGATTGAGAAGTGGATCCACAGGAGAGAACCGGGAGAGCTGATGGTTGTGAGGCCCTGTCCACGTAGCCTTGGTGCTGACGTCTCCATCCCAGAGGTCCAAGTCGATTTTACTAGCTGCTCCTGGGGGTCTGTGATGGCTGAGTTCTGCTGACTCATTCGGGAGGCTCTGGTTTTTGGCAGATGTGGGATTTCAGGTGCTCCATCGCCTTCAGCTCAAAACAGTCTTCACACCACCGCATAGCATTTCCATGGCTCGGCGGCACATTTGGAACCCCATCAATTACCCAGGCATGGACTGAGGGCCATATCTGTCCTGCGATACCGAGCTATGTCCTGGCACGCATATCCCAACGTGAGACGCACAGGAACCGGGTGTTCAGGTCTCTACCAGGCGCCGCAGTGCGGGGCTCTTCTCAGACTCAGAGTCTGCAAACAGCCCACTGCACTCTGAGTGCTGACTTGCCAGGGACTTGAGCCTGTGGCTGAGCTGGAGCTGCTAGTGGTTTAGGGCAGACCGCACAGTATGAAGGGTTGGAGACCTTTCCACAGTGCCTGGTAATTAGAGATTTAGCAAAACCCTGTCTCATAATAAAAATAAATAAATAAAATTAGGAAAAATATTTTTAAAATTAAGTTGGTGTGGTGGCACACACTTGCAATCCCAAAACTGGGGAGGCTAAAGCAGGAAGATCACCTCCAGTTCTAGGCCAGCCTGAGCTATACCGTGAGACACTACCTCAAAAATAAAGTAAAAATTTAGAAGGTCTGGGAATGTAGGAGTTGGTGTGGGGGTGCACACCGTAATCCCAGGATTCCAGGAGGCGGAGGCAGGAGAATCACGAATTCAAGCTCAACCCGTGCGATTTAGCATGGGCTGCATTCACTCCAGCCCTGGACTGCCCCCTCTGGGTATTCGGGCAGCACCGAGGTAGCTGCGATGGGGACCCCACACGGTGCCCTCTGAGAGATCTGCCTTGGTTGTTCGGCACTTCCCTCCCGGCTGGAGCCTCTGGGAGTGTCACGGCTGCTGTTCCGCCATAAACGTCCTGAAATGGACAGCGCGGGGACAGAGCCTCCCTGCGGGCTCCAACGGCCGCCTGGAGCGACTTCTGAGCGAGTCCAGGGAGGTTTGTCCGTTCGCTGTTTGTGGCCTCAAAAGACTTGTTGTTTTTTGTTTTTGTTTTTTTAAATGTTGCAAAATTAATTTTTGAAAAGAAAGGAAAAACCTCATGGCCCGTACGGGGATCGAACCCGCGACCTTGGCGTTATTAGCACCACGCTCTAACCAACTGAGCTAACCGGCCACTGAATGTGCTGGCTGCAGGACCGCCTGTGAGCTCCTCCCGCTGTGCCTACAGTCTTCCCCTGGGTTCGCTCAGCGGCAGGCGCAGCCGCAGACACCCGGGCTGTGGGAGGCGGAGCGGACGGCTTCCTCTGAACCCGGCTGTCCCAGAAAGCCTGGGCGAGGGCTGCTGCTCTGCTTCCTCTGTGATCCGCGTCCCTGCTTGGCCTCCCTCCTGTAGCCCCGTCTGCCTAGAGATGTCAGGAGGTATCGCGTGGGTCCACACTCTTTAGGGGAGGCCCGTTTCACCCTGTTTACTTTTTTTTTTCCTGTTTACTTTGTTTTTGGCTGGTTTTGTTTGATTGATTTTCCATTCTTTTGAGACAGGGTCTCTCTCTGCAGTCCAGGCTGACCTGGAACTCACTATGTAGCTCAGGCTGTCCTCAAACCCCACTATCCTCCTGTTTCAGCCTTCTGGGTGCTGGAATGACGGGTGTGCCCCGCCATGCCCTGGCCATCCTGCTCTCTGCAATTGACTTCCTGCTAGAGTGCTCTTGGAGGAACTGCCTTCCAGGTGCAGGGTTCAACTGTGGATGGGATACAGTGCTCCTCCTCCTCTTCTTTTTCCTCTGTTTTCAATGCCAGAAAAATGTTTTAATCTTGCTGTCTCTTGTCAACGGAATACATGACATGGCACAAGGTAGAAAGAAGGGTTCAGCTGGACTGGGGGGTGTGCCTGCAGTCCACCATTGGGGAGGCTGAGGCAGGAGGAGCACAGACATGAGTTGGAGGCCAGCCTGGACTATTTAGTGAGATGCTGCCTCAAATAAAGCTCAGGTGCTGTGCTGAGTGCACCCGTGCCCGGTTGGGAGGCAGGCAGGCTTCCTGGAACCACTGGTGTCCCCAACAAGGCTGGATCCGTGAGGCTGAGGCAGCAAAGTCCTCCCTGCCAAGAGCTGTGTGCAGCCCAGTGCCCAGAGCCAATTGACAGGCCACGGTGTGTACCCAGTAAACAGGTGCCAAACGGATGATGCATTAACCCACAAACATGTTTTACTTGAGTCGAAGGCCTCAAGGTGTTGCCCAGCCTAACCTCGGACTTCAGGGCTCAAGACATGCTCTTGCTCAGCCTGCTGGTAGATGGGACTTCAGGCCCAGGCCCAGTACAGCTCATATTTACATGATTAAAAACATGTTTTAAAGTTTGAGACAGTTTTGCTGTTGGACTCAGAACTTATAATCTTCCATCTTTGGCCCCCTGAATACTAGGATTATGATTATGTGTGACCACACCCAGTCAGGAGCTGGAGTCCTTTGTCTCTGCAAATTGACTCTTTCTCAGTCTCCCTCCCTCCTTCCTTCTAACCTGGACCTAATAAACTGGTCAGGTTTGGCAAATGAAAAGTCAGGCAGCCCACTTAAAATTGCATTTCAGACAAACAATGAAGTATTTTTGTCTTTGTTTGGGACAGGGTCTCTCTACATTGCCCATTCTGGGCTGGAATTTTGGATCCTCCTGCCTCAGCCTCCCAGGGTGCTGGGAGCCATACACTGCTCAAAGCATTTCTGAGTATCAGTGGCCCATGCGGTATCCGGACCAGACTCAGACTGAAACAGTAACTGCTGTGTGTCCAGTGACCCAGGCCCAGAGGGTGGCAGGAGGAAAGGGACCCTTGCTCCAAGACTGTTCTCAGCTCCTGCAAGTCGCTGTGCCCCCAACACGTCCTTCCTGCTTGTCCCCTTATTTGTTGATAACTCCTCCAAGTCTCTGTGCCCCCAACACGTCCTTCCTGCTTGTCCCCTTATTTGTTGATAGCAGTCCCCTCCCAGAGGAGCCCAAGAGGGGTAGCAGTTTGCAGTCTTCCCACACCCAGGACAGAGCCCCAGATTGTGACTGAGCCACGCAACCCTACCCCGGGGAGGTCACGCTTCTGCCAGGGACCAGGCTTGGGTGAGGCTCAGTGAGTAAGGGTGGACACCAGGGGTCGCCCATGATCCATTGGGCAGTGGCACGATTTCTATATTTATTTTTAGTTTTTGAGTCAGGATCTCACTATGTAGATCAGGCTGGCCTCAAACTCACTACAGTCCTCCTGCCTCAGCCTTCTGAGTACTGGGGTTACAGGTGTATACCACCACACCAGACCTCCCTAATATATTTTACTTTTTAATTTT